ACACTCACTCTCTCTCTCTCTCTCTCTCTCTCTCTCTCTCTCTCTCTCTCTCTCTCTCGCACGCACTCTTTCTCTATATCACTCTTTCTATTTTTCTTTTCTCTCTCTCTCTCTCTCTCTCTCTCTCTCTCTCTCTCTCTTTATTGCTGCCTCACTGAATCGCGCGCGTTGCATGCGAATCTAGTTTGATGATCGACGATGCACCCCTCTCGATCGCGTGATGATCGCAGAATTCTTCGTTAACACTTTTCCGAGGAAATTATAAAAAGATTCACTCAGGCTCATTTTTATCAATGTAAAACTTAATTAACTTTAATGTTTAACTCTTAGTACATATGATGCTTTTTTCAGTTCCTTTGTTACACACGACAGATCGTTCGTGTCCCATTAATTTTCATCATTTTTACAAGTATACATAACTTATTAAGTAATTCTTATATATATTTTAATATTTTTAGAAAGTGTTTATTAAAGTAGTGTATTAAAAAAAAAAGGAAGGAATATAGTCAAGTGCTCCTATTTCAGAGAAAACAAATGCGCAGGACACAAATAGCCCAATCGTGTGTACTAAGGGTTAATTTACTCGTCTAATTTTTAACACTAGAAGATAAAAGATACCGAGTTAAACCGAGATTAAAATATTAACTTAGTAACTTACATTGATAGAAATGAGCTTATTCATCTTTGACGTGGACAAGAATCGAGTAAATAGCCACTCATTAGATCGGAGAAGTATTAAAATCGGTTGACATTTACCTCGTACTTTTCGACGAGGGTGTATGCTTTCTTTAATTCATGCCTTCTTTAATTCATTATCAAGCGTCAACAATATATACGTATCACAAATCGCGCGGTAATAGTGCATCGCTCTCGCGTCGCGAAGGCGATCCGGAACGAAAGGAGAGGAGCTTCCGGTGTCTTTCCGCGAAAGATCAGCGCAAAATCTTTCGCAGCTTCCTGAGGTATACACACATACACGGAGGACCTTACGAGGACAGATAATTTTAGAATTCGGAGAGCGCATCATATTCTCCTGTCAAAGTACCTCGATTTTCGAGGGCAGTGCATCGCGATCCGTCTCGCCCTGGTCCCGCTCTTCGAAAGCGATCCGCTCTTTCGATCGTCTCGCCTCTGAACGCGTCCGAGATGAGCTCACACGAGGTCGTCGATCATCGCAACATGACGCCGAAATGGAGATCGTTCGGCCGGTCCGTTTCGCATCGCTTTTCGTATTACATGTTCTATCTACTTTTCTCTTTTCCTGCGTCTACGTATTTACAGTGACGAAGGAAAAGAAACTGCGCGTCATCGCCGTGGTCTCTTCATCGATAATCGTCTAAACTCACTTTTCTTTTTCGTTTTTGTTTTATATATATGTATATCAAAACCATTTTCGCGTAGAAATACTGATCCCACTAAATGTCCCTCGCGGTGGTTAATTGATATCTAAATTTTCGGCTGACTATCTTAAGCTCAGTTTTCACCAATGTAAGATTAACTTTAATTTCGGTTCAATTTACTCTTTATCTGATAATTAGTCTAATTCTGAGCATTAGAAAAAGATATACAGTAAGTTAAACCGAGATTAAGGTTAATCTTACATTAATGGAACTGGTCTCAGTGTACGACAATCTTTCCTCATTTTCAAGTTACCTTCGTCATTGTTTCACGCGAGAAAAAGAAAAGGAGACTGCGAGGGAAGGAAAGACTTTCCGACGAGAGCAAATGCTGAATAATCCACTTGTATTAAACTTCGGTCATGAGGCATGAAAACGCGTGTTTAACGCATTTGTTTGAACGTTTATTATTAAGAATGAGGGTTCCGCAATATTATCCCTCGTTCATATCGCATATCCCACATTACGTTGCGAAAGGTCAATAATAATTGATAATGCGTTTCACAATAGGATTTATATGAGTTGCTCGAGCCCATCATCAAGAATTGCGAATCGCAAAGAAACGTGCGAGTGTGACGTCGACGAGTGGATCGTTGCTCTGCTTGCGCTTCACTTTGGATCGATGAAAGCGTAGCTCGTGTGAAACGCCCACAGCTAATTCGAATGAATGAATGAACGAACGATGATCGCATATTTCTAAACGATTAATCACTAACGACTTCCGAGGAACATCTCTCAAGAAAACCTATCTTTGGACGTGCTTCGGATGTGCGTTGACATTAATTTAACGGGGTAGTTTTCTCGAGGTGCAACGCAATTAACAGGATGAAGTCAAAGAAATGCGAACAAGTAATTATTGGCTGCGTTCAGGGCACATATAAACTTATTCGAAATGCATTCCGATCACAATTATTTCGTTTTTTCTAGAAAACAATAGAAATTTAGGAAATAATTAAATAATTTGGATCCATTCCGAATAATTCCATAATATAGGAGAAAAAACAGCTTTACAATTGTTGTAAATATGATTAGTTCTTGCTCTTAATTCCTCATTCAATTTAAATATATAAGACCCGATTGCATCAATGTTATTTTGATTTTAAGCTTAAAACCTTTTCTGTCTTTGTCTCTCTTTCGCTTTAAAACGAGACGGAGAGTTTTAAATCAAAGTAACATTCCAACTAAGCCTAAATCAATCATATTATTAAATTTTAATATTTGTTCGCATACTACTAATTAAAATATTTACTAAGTTTAAACATATATTTATATTTGGTACAAAGAATTAATTTGACTTAACTATCACTTCTTTCGTTAAGTAAATATTTATTTATTAAGTAAATTTTAATCAATATTATTGTAAAAGACATTAAAATTTAGTGAATCTTTTTTTGCGGTACGCAAATTTCCAAAGCCGTTTTTCGTGCTGACGCAGCCAAAGAAATTTGTCTCGGAGCAGCGACGACGATGACAAAAATGCAGTTTGAGCATAAAATCGAAGAGAGCCGACGCGCGAACCAATCCTTATCACGATCCTAATTCCGTGAGAAGCCGGAATGGCGAATTGACATTTTCGGGATACGCGAATACCATTCCCTGGCTATATCCCTCTCTACCGATGCTGTCGCCGCCGCCGCCCTTGTAATCCTTATCCTTCATCGCGGCGGCGGCGCCGGCGGTTCCTACCTACCCCCTTGCTCCCATTCTCAGTCTGCTCGTTTTCTCTCCCTCATGATGATATTGATCCTCCTGCCGCGAGGCCCACCCACGAGCAGCAACGTTAGGCTGCCATTCGACCTAGTGTAGAACCATAACGCGGATGAAGACGCGCGGAGATGACCAAAACCTGCGTTTTGCCCAAAGATTTTCATATTGAAAAATAAAAAATGAAATAAAATTCAATATAAAGTAATACTAAATAACTCTGATTCAGTCGGGATAACTTTGGCCTAAATTAAAAAAAAAATACCTAAATAGCATGTCCAAAATCAGATCACAAGACATCAGATTATCTTTAAGATGTCTTATTTCTCAATTTTGATGCGTGTTTGAACATTATCGAAATTTGAATCGAAGTTATTTTGATTTCAGGCAAGAGTTATCCCACTTTACAGTAGCTTTTTTTTTTAAAGGGAGACATATGTGGCTAGTAAACGATAATCTCGATTCCAGGCAGATCCGAGATTCTTGCGGAGAGACAGTAACGCGATAGGTTGGGAAAGAGATAAATAAAGCGGGATGCGCGGGAAGTCTCGCGGTACACGCCAATCGCGAAAACGCTCGCGTTATTGGCGGCAGGATAACGTGCCGGATAACGCACATTAATTTTCGGACGGATCGATACAACACGCGATAAGCCGCCGATGGATTATCGTCCCTGGGATTTTTCGCGTGGCGAAACGGATCGAATTTATCTCGTGCGGCTGATGACGAATTTCTGATAACGCGTTACCAACGCGTTATATCGACGAGACGGAGATTTTGGAAAAGTTCGAAAGTTTTAAGTGAAGAGATAATATATCTTGTAGGAACTCAACGCTTTTATTAATAACAATTTAACATGGAATTTATTCTATATACGAAATGCCCGTATTATATAATGTTTCTTTTATAAATATTTATAAATAATATGATATATGTATATATGCGTCCCCAATCAAGGCCACCCTCAAGAAATTTAACACGTCGCAACTTTTATCTCGATTATGTCATGCTTTTTCACGATCAACTATCGATAATACGAAAAGTTAACTTTTCAACGATACAAGTGTCGCGATACACCTGTCTGTTTGCGCGTGTGTGCATGTGGTTCTCTTTTGTGCAAAAATCTCGAACGTGATAATGTTGATATTGTGTAGTTAATTTTCTAATAGGTCGGTAACAAATGGCTTAAATGTTTTTTTATTAGGCTCTGCTTCCTTCTCTCGAAAAAAAAAGAGACGACGATCCACTGTGACAATCGACATCATGCACTTTTATTCTCTCTCTCTCTCTCTCTCTCTCTCTCTCTCTCTCTCTCTCTCTCAGTTGGTCCCTGATCTTCCCTATAACAATGCGCAGTTTTCATTTCCTCGCAGTTCTCTCTTCCCTTCCTCCTTCTCCTTTCACTCGCGTGAAACATACAAAATGGACAAATCAATGTAATTGATTTTTATCGAGATTTTCTCAAAAATTTTACAAAGGTATTGAGAATCAGCCTCTAATCTTCGTCTTCTCTTCCTTTCCCATCTTTTTTTTAGATTATGTTTTATGGCCCCAATATTTTACAAGATAACGTTACCCCACCCGATTGAAATTTAAAAAATGATGATTATTATTATTATTATCTTCTAATCCACTTGGCGCGGGACTTGCTAGTTTCTAGCGGAGTCGCGACAAGCGATAATAAAATCCGATCGGAAGTCTTCGTGCACACTTTCGGCGAACGGTCGAGGATGTGCTTTCTGCGTATGTATATATAAGCGCGGGATTCAATATATCTGTTTTATTCTTATATTATAACATTAATATTTCTTTCTGTCGTGTATTTGTTTTTTTTTAAACAGTACTTTTGATTAGACGAACCACAGATCGCTATTCCTTTTTTGTTATCTATGGAATGTATCGCTATTTGGAAGAATAATCGCAGATTCCTTTTCTCTCTTTCTCTCTTTCTTTCTTTCCTTCTTTCCCTTTCTTGTATAGCATCGAACTACATAGTAACCTTTATTATACAGTTTCACATATACGAATGACACAAAGCGCAAACTTTAGGATTTTGTTCGTTATTTTCATGTTTTTAAAAATCTTCAAAATAAAGCATCAATGTTACCATTTGATAAAATAAGAAAAAGAAAAGAACGGTGAATATTTCGACGATACACTCCGCGCAAATTCCCGAGAAGTGATTGCCCCTTTAGAAAATACAAGTAGTTCGCCGCGTCGAAATGGAATCTACCTCACCGTGATTATTTGCGGCTTCGACATAGCGCGACACAGCACATTCGATATTAAAACTTAATAAATATATTTACCAATCAACAAATGTGCCCTGTCGCTGATACATTCATTTTCACGTCTTTTACTACACGCTCCCTCTCAATCGCGCATAATTTCTTTCATGCACGCATTTCCACCTGCATATTACTGACGTTATTAATCACTATTATCTCATTATAATATTTATCTATATATATTTTAAATTCCTTACTCTTATATACTCGGTTAAACTGTGCGGGTTTAACGCTTTGAATTTCTTCTAGATTTAATATCTATTTACAATGAAGGACCATTTTATCTTGTATTAGTGCTAACAATGTGCAGTTTAGGAAGAAGTTTTTTTCAATCCTTCTTACTGTAAAAATTTCCAATGTACGGACCGATCATATCAGCGCGCGATTTTGCAACACGCGTCACAAACTCATAAAAATTGAATGTTTGATAATTGACTTGCTGTTAATTGTAAGTATGCCGTTAATGGCATAATTAAATACGCTACTTTCTAATCGTTACGTTACTACATTATTATTTTCATAATAATGTAATAATATAACGATATATTATTACGCTATTGTGATATAATGATATAATATAATCGTTACATTGTTACATTATTATTCTTATAAAGTATTAACGCCCGGCCAGGCTCGCCTGTCCAGAAATCTTGGACGTTTTGCAACGACGAGTCGGCGCAAGGTAACCAATTTTTGCGGCCGAATAGGTTCAGTCGAATAAACTCTAATCGTGGCCTCCTTATCAATATCAATATCTCTATCTACTTGCGTGAATTTTCAACGTGAAAAATCAAGAGAAAGGAGAATCGTCTTGCGGAATGCCCGTCGAAGTCATCGCAGTTGTCGAAGTCGTCGACGCGAGCACTCGGAAATTTATCGATCGTTCTCGATATAGCCAAGCATGGGCGAACTTGAAAAAGAAAATAGGAACCGCGACCTCCTGATTTTGTTTCGTTTTTTTCTCAAAAGTGGGTATCGTTGCCCAACGAGAAAACGATAGAACGATTTCCACGTACCTCTTGATATCCCACGCTACCACATCTCCAGGGCTAAACTCTCTCGCCCTTCGGCGGTTATTACAAAATTAAATTTTACTAAAATGTGATTGCCTAAAAGAATAGTCGGCAGCCGCGGAAACGGTGACCGAGAATGCACTACGACCGGTTGTGGGACTTTGTCGCACCGGTGGGTAACTGTCGCCATTCGCAATTGTCAGTCATTGAATATAACAAAGTATATCATCAATCTGCATCCGATGTTTTCTCAACATCGAGCTCAAGAAAGAATCAGTCCTTTATCATAATATTATTAATATTATTTCCATAATATTATTTCCATCAATCGTACCTTTTAAAACTCCAATAAGATTGAATCAAACGTTCCGTTTATAGATAATGTTTTTTTGTAATTAAAAAAAGAAGATTCGAAAAGGGACATTCGGGTCGATATTCTCTTCCAAAAATGCACTGACGAGAAAATCGATTCGTTTGATACAATGAGGGAAAACATGATGGGAAGAAAGCAGATCAATACGCGGATGAAGTGAAATTCGTCGATACCATTGCGCTAAGTATACACTTTAAGGAGTCGATCTCATTCGCTTGACATCGTAGTAAAATCGGCATATCGCCAAGCACCGATATTTAAACCGACCATACTGTAGATACGGTTCCATTACAGAATATCGAGATTAAAACCAGCTGTAGAGTCGAGAGAATTAAGCAGCTCTTGGGCGCTAAAGTTCGACGTGTCTCCTGTAGGAAGGTTCTCCAAGAATTCGAGGGTAAAATCAGGAGCCGTAACGGACGGATCCGTAGTGGTGGCCGGTGGTGGTGGCTGAGTGTGCTGCTGCGGTGGTGGTAAACTACGTACTCCAGGGCTACCTGCGCCATACTGTTGATGTGGATGCAGAGGAGAACCTAAACATACAATTCATCAAGTGTAATTAAATATGTTGAACGTTGCTACAAATATTCGTGACATAAAATATTGAGCAGGTAAGTCCCATTAGTAAAAATTTAATTATCTTCACTTGTAATTTTTTACGAGAGCGAAAAAAAACTTATTGAATTTTTTTTCAAATACACTGTCAAGAATTTTTTAATTAAGGCCTGATTGCTCTAACGTCACTTTAACTTTACGAGATGTAAAACTTTCTTCTTTTCTATTTCTCTCGGTTTAAAAAAAAAAAAGAAAAAAAGATAATTTTAAGCCTCGCTTAAAGTTAAAATAATATTGATGCAATCAGGCATAAGAAAAATGTATTGTTTCGGTTAACAAACTTATATAACGTGACATGAGAAATATAATTCATTAAAATAGAATGTATAAAATAATTTTGTAGCTAAAGGAAGGATTTTAACTGATTTTAGAACAAAACGTTCGTCATTTTTACTAAATATGACTGATGAATATAACTGCGTTTGTAGCAGTAGAAATTTGGGGATTTAACTTCTTTTCTCCTTATAACAGTAGGAATAATTTAACTTCTTTTGGAATTTCAATGTAAATTTTTTTGTATTTTTGGATACAGCTGCTTTTATATATAGACTACTCAGATAATTCCATGGGAAATTCCATTTAATTTGTATGGCTAATAATGAGTTACGCTCGAGCGTGAACATTTTTGTTTTCGTGGACCACTACTCACCGGTCCCAGTAACGTTGACTGAATTTACAGACGTTGTCTGTGACATCTGCATCTGCAACGACATCTGATTGTTATTCTGCTGCATAGCCAGCGTTTGTTGTTGGTGCTGTTGCGTCAACAGCTGTTGCATCTGCGTGCTGTTGGACATTCCCGAACCAGCTATACCGCCGTTTTGCGAACGAATTAATTGTTGATGTTGCATCTGCGCCGCAGTCATTTGCATTGTGTTGGCCGCGCCACCCATGCCGAAAGCACCTGCGAAAAGTGTGATTTAATAAAATCCCGCAATATCAATTCAAATCATTTTCACGAATAATAACAAGTAAGGTTCGCGAGACGTGCTTGATTTTCTATGAATATGATTTGCATTTATGCGTTTATATCCAAACAAAACGCAGCGACATGCTCTTTCGATTTTCGACGAAAATGAGAACATCGTTCGAGAGAGCAAACTTCAAATTAATGCGAAATAAGATAAATCTGATATCAACAATCGACTCATGATTCTTCCGATGAACACGATAGTATATCCGGATGTTTTTCAACAAGAGACAGACGATACAGTATAACATAATGAATCATTATACATCCTTATTGTTTGCAAGTTAAATCAAGATGAAATGATCACTGTGTTACACTATGTTTCTTATTGAAAAGCGCATCATATCTGTTTCTCCTCCTTTCTTTCTCTCTCTCTTTCTCTCTCTCTCTCTCTCTCTCTCTCTCTCTCTCACACCTTGGTGACTTTGCTGGTTGAATTGTGAGCGCATTTGCGCCTGAAAGCCTTGCTGTTGTTGCATCAAAACCGCGTGTCGCCATTGGTCCTGCTGGGCGCCGCGACCCGCGATGCTGTTTCCAAGGCCATCCGGAGGTCCAACGCTGACGTTGGGCGGCCGTTGATTGTTGGTTCTCGGGTAGCCTAGCCGTTGATGCATCTGATGCATATTGCCGATGGCAGCCATCCCGCCGCCGCCCATGTACATATTACCGCCGGCTGCGTGTAATGCCTGCTGCTGTTGTTGTTGCGCCATTTGCGGCCTCATCATCGGACCTGCGAAAAACATCCACACGAGCCGTAATGCGGGACATCGTCTAACGTCGCTACTGCTGCTACTTACTTAAACTTGAAAGCGCGTAAACAAAGAATTTTGTGACGAACGCATTAAATTCAATCGAAATTCGCGATGACATCATGGTACGGATGGTTGAATTCGAAAAAACGTGACATTTTAAAGGAGAGGCAGGGCTCGGCGAAAATCTGCAGATTTTCTTCCGTTTGGATAGAATCTCGGGAAAACCGGCGTCGATCCGATCGATAGGAGTCTTGTGGAGACCAGGATATATAAGGATAGTTTCGACTCCCTCTCTCTATCACCTCACCATCTTTTGCCACCTCTGCCTCTCTTCCTCTTGGAATGAATCCAGCGGAACGTCAGCATCACGTTTACGCTTGGTCGAATTCTTTCCACGATGATATTCAACGTGTTATCCGCGCCAAGATGTTGAACAACGGTGAAGTATCGAGCGCATGCAATATCTATTTACTATCACACGATGGATTTTGCGTGATATTGCTGTATTAATAGTATTTTTTTCGCGAAATTATCTGTTTTCTTACTTCTATTGCTCTCTTACTTCAAAAAGAAGACAACTCAAAAAAATTAAGTATCCCAAAAAAAAAAAAAAAAATTTTTCTACTTGCCAGAAGATTAATGACTAATCAAATATAGCAACAAAAAGAATGTAGACATAATATCAAATGTCAGTTTCATTTTACAACCCTTTCAAAGATCACCTCTTTTTTTTAGTTGTGACAATTTCGATTATTTTTTATGAAGATAAGCTAGTCTGATGATTGATAGGGTAATGTTTACTTAATTCATTTAATAACTTGAAAATCGCGTTTTTGAATTGTATCATTTTTGAAGTAAGGAAGTGATCTAAAATTTAAACATTAAACTACAAGGTAAAAACGAAGAAACTATAAACGGGCCGATAAAATTTTTTTCGAACTTACCCGACGGTGGCATAGGTTGTTGCGTAACTCTGCGCATGGGCCCAGTATTTGCAAATCTCGCTTGCTGACCCATACCGATACTAGCATGCATCATCTGTGCCTGGGCTGCAGCCTTGTATTCGGGCGGTGGCGGCCTTACACTTCCCATTCCACCTGCCATATGCTGTTGCTGCTGCATCACCTGCAAAATTAGAAACATATAAATATCAGAAAAAAAAATAACAAAGATATACAGAATGAGAGAGGCAGAACGCTTCCCCTAATCTTAACTGAATATTTTAGAAGAGAAATATATTAAAATCATGTCATATATCTTTCTGCATTTCTAAAGTCGAAGGCAGACATATCGAAATATATAGTACTGGATGGAGCATTAGCATCGAAACCATCTTGTCAGACTTAGAAAGAGATAGAGCGATTACGGGGGTAGTAATGAATTATGTAATCAAAGACCCTAAGGCATTAAGTTGATACATCTGTGCTCAAAGTGTTACTTTTGCACAAAACACACATAGAAACCATATTTCAAGTTTTATTTTGTATCTAATAATTAATGTAAGTTTAATGTAAGAATTATCGTACTGCATTAGTATCAATCAATACTGTGATAGCTCCTGACTTTAAAGAATACACTATTGTCCTCCCTCTCCTGAAACATAATTCGACCAATAGGACAAGAGTAGGAAGAGAGTTCCGTGCTCACTTAGTTACCTTACTCTTTCTAGGTCCGTCAAAACGAAAGATCAAAGGGATTTCGCCGCATCCATCTAGTACTATACATCGATGGGCAGACACAGTTGTCTTTTTGATGACTCACTTCAAAAGATAAGACTTCGAGTTCGAAGTGATCCTGGTTGTGACGCTGGTTCGAAAATCGTATACTGAAAATCGCAATGTGCAGTGTGTGATTTTAAGGTCGGCTCGTCGCGATTTCCGTCGGTCTTTCGCGGAGCCTCGAGAAAGCGAGAGAGTAGAAGGGCGTTGCACGCCTAATCGCAGGTTGTTGCTCGGTCGAGAGTGGAAAGAGACGCCGGCCGGCGCGACGAACGAGAGGTGAGCGGAGAAGAATGGTGCGAGAGCAGGAGAGCGAAAGGGTGAACGTATCCGATAGCGGCGGCGAGAAAAGCGAGACGGGAGACGAACTGCATCCTAGCCGCTATGCCGATTCTAGCATCGCGGTTGCCGCCGCCACCGCTTTGTATTGTCGTGCGTTTTCCTCGCCCCGGACTTTCCTCGCAGCCGCGTAATACCAGGAAGCGGAAACTCGGACACTCACGCACAGCGAGATCGCCACACCGCCACATCATCTATCCTAGTAAATCGTGCACAACGATGCATTTAATATCGATCACGATAAGTCACCCTGATTCTGAGTGTGATTGTTCAAAGGAGAAGAAAGTACATTTCCACAGAAAAGAACAGTTTTGCTGAAATATTAAAAAATTTCGCTAGATATACAGATCTAAAAATAATTTTGTTTAGATCATTAAAATGATTATGTAAAATGTTTAAATTGCTGGAATGTTGAAACTTCTTATAGTATTATTATCAACGTTTAATCGTTTTACATAATTTTATATGTGTGTGTATTAATGATCCAACAAAATTATTTTTAGATCTATATCTACCTAAATTTTTAAACACTTCAACAAAACTCGGAGAATTTTTTTGGAGGTGAATAAAATACCAGCTCTGCTGAACAGTCAGATAATTTTAATTTTAATTTGTTTCGTTCTAATTTATATTGAATTCGAATTTCCAATTTGCAATCTCCAACGCGTAGCATGATAGGCTTAAGATAATTATGGAAGTTTTAAAAATAATTTGTTTTCTTTTCGTCATCGATTCTATTCATGTGAATTTCGTAATTTTGCAAAAAGTTACCGAGATATTTTTATCATCTCGATTCGCATTTCGATAATGTACAATGAGAATGGGAATGAGTTTCTGCAACGAGAACCTTAGCAATTCCTAGAACTCATAGATGTTGTACGATGATGCTCCTGTTGTTCTGCACGTTAAGTATCCTAATGGATTGGAATGGATACGGGGCCGATCACCCTGTCAATTCCAATATCATTGCGAGGCCGTGAGTAAGCGCTAATCGCGAGATCGCTACATGTTTCGTGTAAGTGCGGAAAAAGAACAGATCCGCAAACGCAATAAAGATATCAGTTTATCATTTTTGGCGCTTTTTGTTTTGTCTAAAAGATATCAGTTCTAATTCTCTTACTCATAACTTCAATTTGTGTGTACTTACGAAACATTAGTAGAATCTAATTGTAAATAATTATTTCAAGAAAACAAATAAAATTTTAATTGTAATTCGATAAATATTACAACATGTCGCATTTGCTATAACAATATAATTTAAAAATTATCATTTTTTTAGTTGCTTGTAGAAAAAGAATAAAAAAACGTAAAGAAAAGAGAGAAAATATGTACTTTAATAGAATATATTTTATATTTCTTTTATAT